CCGGTCACGGACCGACTTGGTCAATTCGTACAGGACCTCCACCAACCGGTTTGTCAACGCTCCTCGGTCCACTCGAGCAAAGACAGCAGCAGATGCAAGGTGTATTCGCAAACGCCGGCGTTCTTTATCCCCCTCCTGCTCCATCCGTGTCAGGGTTTCGACATCCGCCTCCTCGTCTCGACCTCGGGCCAAACTCGTCCGCGCCGGTCTGTTACCGCAAAACCCAGACACGAGCTTGACATCAGCCATGCCTGTGGCAAGCTCACCTGGGTCTTTCTCCTCCATGTCGAGAGCCACGTTCCTTATTATCAGTCCCTTGCCCTCCATAACCCCCCCCTGTTCCTCTCCTTCTTGCGCCCCTCGGAACAAGGAAGAGGACGACGAAAATGAGAGATGGTGCCGTCGGCCCGCGAGGCTTCCACTTCTCGCAACCCCAACCTCCCCGACACCATTCAAATACCTTATCGGCGGCATGAAGGACCCAATCCTCTCGATCAGAGCCGAGAGCGCACTTTTGTCAAGAGAAGGATTCTTGCTTTGAGACGCAATGTCCCAACCGGCCAGCACCTCGACCAGATAGGCCAGCCCCCCCATTTTCACAAACGCCAACTCCCAACGCAAAGCCGCGTGATGCTCTCTAGTGGAGGCGTGAGAATCAGATGCGGGGGCCAGAATTTTATCTTTTATAAGTCGTAGGTTGTATAGGAAGCGCATTGGGGACCGTCCGTGGAGAAGGCCGTCCCAAGTGGTAATGTTGCGACAACTACTGTCCCTGTTGCTCGAATGCCGGCTAATACGTCCTTCCACTTCTATCTTTACAGTGTCCTTTGATGACAAGTCCGGTTGATCGACTGGCAAAGCCCCCCCGAGGCACCGGATGGTCTCCTCTATAAAAGGGATGTCAGGCACCATTTCGAGCAGAGCCCAAGCATCTTCTACCAATCGAGGCTCTGGTGCTACCAGCGCAAAGACCCTCTCGAAAAATGCGCGATCTTGGCAAAGATCCAACAATGGGGCAGATTCGTCTTCCCCCTCCAGTAAACTAACGCCAGGCCGGGTTTTCGGGTTCACATGAATCGTGTCTGCCATTGGCTTTGGCAGCAGCACCGCGTGAAATCGCCGCGGCAAATTACTCTTCCCACTGCTCAACAAAAGGTCGTCGTGCTGGTCGCTATACATGACTTGGTTGGCTGTCGATGTCAACCGCACTTGAGAGACCCGGTGCTTCATGTCGGCTGCGACTCGCGCCCGCAGTGCTCCGATTGAAACAATGTCCCGGAACAAGTACCGCAGCTGCTGGCTATACGCCCCATGCCTACCACCACGAACCCCGTTTAGACCCTCCTCCAATTGTCGCACGTCAACCTGGACCGCGACTTGACCTGGACCGGGGTTCAACGCGGAGGCAGCGCTTGCTTCGCGGACTCTCGGCGTCTGCAGCTCCTCCAGGAAAAGACGGAGTAGGGCTAGCGCCCGACGGACCATGACTGGCCTTATCGGTGTCTGGGCAATTTCAGTTCCTGTGTCTCCTCCTTCCCGGTCGTCGGTCGACTCGTGCATTATTACCTCTTTGCAATGTCTCACCAGATCCGCCCAAACACTGGCGCGCTTCAAAATTTGAGAATTGCGAGACTGCAGCCGCGAATGCAAATTAATCAGGAACACACAAGCAGAATTTACCACTACTTTACACGACGCCCGCCAGTACACACGCCATATGGCCTCTAATCCCTCCAAACCGTCGTAATCAGTCACTGAAAATTCTGTGGCGCTTAGAGGTAAGGCCAAGCACTGCTCCGTTCCATTGACAAGCCGGAAGTAGCGTTCCAAACATTGATAACCCGCAACGCCATACTCTCCTGCCCGACCTTCGGTCAAGCATCCCCGAAAGAGATCGTGCACGGTGGCGGGATCCAGGCAAGAGCTCACGTAAGATGAAGAAAGCTGCAATTGAGGTTGCTGTGATGAGGGTAAGGGCCCCCCATACCGCAATGTCGAGGATGTGGTAAATGGAGACTCGTCCGGCATGAGCGTGAGCAGCCATCGGAAAAAGAGAGTCCTCTCTGCCCGACAAAGGGGTTGTAGAACCAGCATCTCCCAGAGCGGCCACAAATGAGACTGATATTCGAGCTGCTGCTCTTTCTCGCTGTTCTCGGAAACATAGCGCATGAAGTCCAGGCGGGTCGATACCTCCTCTTTGTACGAAAGGTGACTCCCACCGTCTCCCGTCATCGTGGCGCCCATCAACAAGCCGTCCTCTTCCTCCTGCTCTTCGTTGTACTCTCCCTCCTCAGTACTCGCGCTACTGCTCCAACTAAGCTGCTGTCGCACGCCTTGCATGTGCCAGTCTCCTTCCTCTACCATTGCCTCTTCTTTCTTTTTATCTCCATCTTGCTGCAACAGCCCCTTTGCTATCGCCGCTCTCCGTGCCTTGTCCCGATAGTTTTTCAGACCCTCTAATATAGTACATAAAATTCCACCATCTCCGGCACAGCCACTCAGGAAGTTCAAGAGCGTTGCCCTAACTACTTTCGCTTGCGGCCTGACATGCGAGTGCTGATGATGGTAGGGCTCGATCACAGGTTGTTTTTCTGAGAGATGGTAAAGGAGATAGAGCACGCCAGCTACACGGCGACCTCGCTCAAGGGCCAGGACAGACCGCTTCATATAGCGGGCGAGAACATCTTTGTTCCCTTGTTTGATAAGGAGGGAGATGATCGCTTGCACGCAGACTTCGACCGCCTCCCTTTTTAGAAACATTCCCATCGCTGACGTGGTGCCAGGCACCGTAATGGATGATGAGAGAGAGGACGTGGACGACACAGAGGGCAATCCGACGGGCGGCTCGGTGGGAATGCTCGATGCACCGGCTGCGTCATTCTCGCCCGAAGGCCCTACTACGGCATTCCATAACAAATTCAGTCCCAAGGGGTCAGCGAGAGCATCCTCACCCTCGACGCCTTTACCCCTCTCTTCTATTCCTGCTCCCTCACCCTCGTCCTCGTCGTCCTCGTCCTCCTCGCCGTGTTTGCCACTTCCCGGCCTAAGCCCGCGCTCCCGGGGTAGGGAGTGCTCCAAGGTGATGGCGGCCTCGGCCACGGCATGAATGAGCTCGATGTGCTGTGTCTCGTATGGCTGCGGTAAGTCGCTTTTCAGCCGAGCATGCATGGCCAAAAGCAAAGACCGATTATTTCTCTGCGCGAGCTTCTCCGCCACAACCCCAATGAGCCGGTAGACGGTGCGGACTTGGGCGTCAGGGTGCAGCGGTGACGCTGCCCACCAGAGGGCGTCCAAGTGGTCCGTGTTCAACAGCCCGTTGTCGGCGAGTACAGTAAGGAGGAACTCTACTCGCCGGACAAGCTCAAAGTGAGTGTCGTCCAGGCCCGGGTGCGTCCCCAAGGCCTCCGGGAGCCCTAGAACAATCTCCAGGACCCGTTCGCGCACCACCCAGCCCAAAAAAAAGTCCAGCCTGAGCCATTTGGTCACATTTTGATTACCGCTTGTATTGCCGTCGGCATTTCCGTACCACTGTCCTCCCCCCAATGCTGCCCCCCCGGTAGCTCTCTTGCTCTCTTTTCTGAGAGCCATTTCCGCCAGCTCGTTGATTAAATGCAGGCCGCGAATGCGAAAATTCAGGTAGGGGCACGTCAATAAGCGCCAGGCATGCCATAAAAGCGTCATTTCCTGAATTTCTTGTAATTGAGGCCCTTCTTTGTACCATACACTTAGTAAACGAAAGGCCTCCCGGTCCACGCCGTCCAACACGTCTTGCGCCGCGCTTCCCCTGTTCAGAACGCCCAGTTCATCGTTTGTTATATGTGTCAGTCTACCCAGGGCATGTCGTCGAACCCCTTCTATGATATTGTCTCCAAACGAACGATTCGCCTCTCGCGAGGAGTAGAAAGGGAAAGCTCGCTGCAGGTGCCCCAGATAGACCGTCACCTCCGCCAGCGGGGCCTCGCGGATGCGAGCCATCATGGCGTCGAAGCCTCCTGTGGCCGCCCAGTGATTCAGGAGAAGGATGAGGAACGCGGAGACCTCTCCGGCGCGGTGATATTGCGGGTGGTGTCGGCCTGTGCTGGCATTGGTGCGAGAAGGCCCGGGCCCTAAGCTGTGTGCAAGCGCGGAGGCAGAGCTTGTCGCGCTCAAGTAAGGGCAACTTGCAGGTTTTAAGATCAGATCGCGCGCTGGCCCGAACCCGTAGGTCTCAAAGAAATATGAGCAGGCTGGATCGGCGTGGAAGACCATGGAAAGGGCCCTTAGGAGGGGCAGCGGGCAGGGAGCCTCGCCCAGGCGGGAGAGCACCCTGGCGAGTAGGGCGTAGGCGACCTTCAGACCCTCCAGCATGCCGAGCAAGGTTGCGTCGTCCTCTTCCGCCGGATATGAGGACGCGAGACATACCTCCATAAACGCCGGAAGCGCCTGCCGACAAAAGTCATCCGGCTCCCCGGGCCCGCCGGCCTCCTGCCCTTCCACTTCCTCGAGGCGCGCCTGCATCCGCGCCACCATATCTGCCAGCTCCCCTGTCGTCCAGGCCCAGAGAGCGCCCTGCGGCCTGACGGACATCGCTCCTTGAGCATTTTCACCCGTTTCGCCTTCCACCGCCACGCCGGTGTGCGTACCCGCCATCGCCAGCCGCGAGGAGACCAAGGGCAGCTCTTCGTCCCAGTCCAGGTCCCGGGGCCGTACTGACACCAGCTCCTCCGTCACCAGCCGCACCTGGGCCACGCACCACTTACCAGTGCTGTCCTTCAGATCCACCATGTCCCCGACCCTCACGCCCTGTGTAGGGGGCCATCCACCCGCTGCTTCCCCCCCGCCGAAGCTGCGGGCGCGCCGGTAGCACAGGAAAAGCGGACGCTCGCTCCTACACAGGGGCTTGTCCAAGCGAACAAACCCTTCTCCCGGGTTTTCATCTTGTCCCACGATCACCACATCCACCAACGGCCCGTCCTCTTCTGCGTGCGCATCCTCCTCGGACCCCCCCTCCCCGCGGTCGGCTATCCCCCCG